AAAAAAAATTCAGAACCTGTCTTTCACAATAACCATGCCATCTCCATAATCCATTTTCAACTATTGAGCCTACAATGAAGCCAAAACATACCGCCATGTATGGTCGGCAGCCAGCGTCTTGCGTTTGAGCTACTGAATTTTGGAGGTATCCGCATATGCCGAAATCACATAGTTTCACTTCTCCTCTCCGATTGAGTAGAATATTGGATGGCTTCACATCTGTGAGCATGTATTTCTGTGAAAAGCAACAAAACGAGAAGGTGTTGCTAACCTCTGTGAATGATACGGTAATGATCTTTCATATGATTCAATGCGATTATAACCTAAACATTCATGATTTCTGGCAATTATAACATACAATGTGACGCACATTAATGGCGACGCTTCCTAACGTATTTTCGTCGAAGGCAGGGTACCCCAGTCTGTGTACAGCAGTGTAGAGCCGCTCCAAAGAGATATCCATAAGTTCCATGCACACTAAACCGTCTCCCTTAAATTAGCTATGTTTCCACTACAGAAGCTGGACGCAGCACGAAGCTCACCTCATGAAATGTTATGCCATAGAACTGAACGATCTGCTTGCAGTTACTGGCAGATTTTATAGCGTCAACTTCTTGTTTAAGCCGCTTCATCGATCGGCAACTAGCGACATCATCTACTCCGGAACTGACTATCCGAACTCGCTGAAAGAAAGCCCACGTTTGATTTGAAAGCAGGAAAAAAACTAGCCAGGTCTGAGAACTTGTTCACATGAGCCAAGAGAGTGTGGGACTAACTTTTTTACTTGGATAGTTAATATATATATTACAGAGTTAGCTTTGTAAAAAAAAATCTACCGAGACGTGTTTAAAGGCGAAGAAGCGCCTCAAGCTTTTGGAGGGCGTGGCGATGAAACATCCCTTCAATCGTGAGAAAAATTCCTGTTATGCATTCCATTGACAAAAAAAATTTTGATGAGCGCCGCTGTTATGAACGAGGTGTCCCAAAAATAAGCACGCTGTTTGATCGTCTTTTTTTACTTGCTTTATTGCCTTTCGAAGCTCTTTAGGTATCATACTGTAAAGCTTACTTCAACTTATAATCAATCGGACGGTCTCTTGCGTGTTGCGAGTGCAAATTCAGGATGGGGACGTCAAAGTTGGACAGTGTGTGCAGTGACACACATGATCATAT